TGACCATCTCGTGTGACACACACCCCTGTTACCAGGGAACGAGTACCCCGTAACACAGTAGGCACGGGGCGCTCTACTGGGGAAGGACTGAGTTCTGTTGAGCCTCAAAGAGGTAGAGGGCAGCAGGGCCCAGCCCCGAAGAGCTCTGTGCTCTTGAGCACGGAACGTACACGCAAGCCGGGCTTGCTGGTCGTAAAAGCGACCTATAAGGGATTTAAAAAGCCATGAAAGATTCTTATCGATTTCGGGGCGTAGGGCAACGACGCTCGAAGCGACACGATCGAAGTAAGTCAGCTGTATGCTGAGGCGTTGATAGCGCAGTTGAGTGACACCGTCACTGCTCGCTTGGCGACGGGGACTTGTGTCACTGTGTTGAGGGTCTCTGTGAGCCTCGGCGTCAAGTTTCTCGACCTCGATAGCGTGGAACGCAGCTTCGTCCTAGCCTTGGATCCAAGGTATGACCTAATCCTTGGTATGGAATGGTTAGAACACAATTAGCCATAGATCGATTGAAGGCCGATAACCTTGGGCGCTACACGCACACTCCTGATTGGAGCTTTGGTGAGTCATAAATCCACCTCTGCTAAGAAGCAGAAGCGCTACTGACGCGGATACTGGACCGAACAGTCAACGTGCTGGGTATCGGAGTATCTGAGTTGTCGAACACCAAAAGTGTTTAGGACAAGTGTTCCGAGCATAGCTCGCGGGCTAAAGGTGGGGTGGTACGTAACCCACTGACTACTACTCAAGTATCAAAGCAGTTGCTGCATGCCAAGAGTAGCTTGGTCGAACAAGGTCCGAGGCATCGAGGGCGAGGGCAAGGGCCTAGTGATGCGCGTGGAGTGGCACGTAATTTACTGAGCACTGCTCGCGTATCGAAGCAGTTGCTGCATGCCATGAGTGGCATGGTCGGACGAGGTTCGAGGCACCTTGGGCAAGGCCCTTCATATGCGCGTGGAGTGGCACGTTATCCACTGGACGAAAACTGTGGAAATAGCAGCTCTTCGCCGAATGTTGTTAATAACATCAAGATTCCGATGAAGCAGGGAGTGGGGACACTGGACGAAGCTGAGTGGTCTCGATGGGACGCAAAACCTAGATAGAGAGAAGACGGCGATGCCGTCTATTATCAGCATGACGCAGGGAGTCCACCCTGACCCAGGGTGCGTCTACCGTCACAGCTATACACCCTTGTCAACAGTATGACGGGAGAGAGAGACGGCGACGTCGCCCTCGAGGCTATTCCCGCGGTGTACGGTCTTCTTGAGCTGGACGAGAGCTTTTTAGGCATGTCTAGCTGTCCGGGGGGGCAGGGAACCAAACATCTCATGTACCGATCTGACAAGAGTATAAGAACTATTCATGTCTCGGTCATGGGGTTGATTGATAGGGCTACCTAGGGCAACAGAGTTTCTGTGCTCCTTGCACAGAGAAAGCTTCGACTGAAAATGTCCGCGTCGGCGAAAACACAGATATTGGCTCGCAGGCTCAACCCATGAGCCGAATGAGAGCCTCCAAGGTAATAAAGTGAGTTCACAAATCAATCATCATTAGTTTTCTCTAGATGCCTATTTAATGAACCACGGACCTTAATCAGTAACAATATATGGTACCTTTAAATTTTCCTGAGTACGCAACAGTGTAATATGAATTTCGTACAATTGTACAATGTTGGACTTGCACAATTGTGCAAATGATAGGTTTGTACAGTATGTAAGCATATGCAGATTTAACGAGTGCGATAGACCTCGACAACATTGATCGCATCTCAACCTAATTATTGCTGAGACTCCACATCGCTATCATGAACGTTCCATCATTAAATGTAACTTTTTAGAGAATTCCCGACTGAATACTTTCATCCACGAGGTCAAACGTCGACACTAAATTAATAGCGTATGCAAATTAATATTGCATAAATAGTTAGGCAACAAAAAATTACTGATAACAATTATTAATTCCAAAGAGCAATCGTTTATAACGATTGCTCAATCGTTTATGTGAATGCAACATGCACTATTCGAGAGCTCGAATGTGGATCTAATTCTTAATATCACAGGTTGAACACTCTACGGCGTATATTACGCCAAAAATCCATTTATTCTAGTGTCTATTAAGGCATCGATAATGATTTATCCATGCAACGCATGGGCAACCGATATATGTTGTATAAGTGAATCCAAGCAGATTAAATTCATTTTTTTGTGATGTTTGGGATAGCAAGTTCTGTCAATATTCGTTATAAGTCACAAGGGACATCACGTGAGCCTGAAAAAGCTAGCCAAACATGCGGGCCGCTGTACGAGAGACAATGCCCAAAATCTCCTCGATTTCGTCTTCAGCGAAGCGCTTTTGAAGACTTGGAATGAGAGCTACGGCCTCTTCAACCTCTTCCGGGCTCAAATTAGACAGGCATGCAATCTCGAACTCTTCTAGTCGGTACTCAATCGTTCCGCTGTCTTCTTCTCGCTGGAATACAAGTGACATCAACGCTCTGTACCACAAACATATGACACAACTAAGCATTATTTGGGGCATCAAGGCAACACCAAGCGATTTACTCGCGAAGCTCAGTGACCGAAGCCTGGTTCATCACAGGATCTTTAGTACCACTAAAGCGCTGCACATATGAATAAGTCTTTCGAAATACGCTACACAATACCGCAGCAATAATATATGATGATCAACAACAAAACGAAGAAAGGGTTCCAAGCGTGCTATAAACGCACTTCGTTAACTGTTTCTCTTGCGTTTCGTAGTCAGACTTTTGCTTTTCCAGAATGACAGCTACTTCAGCATTAGATAGACACGTCTCGTTTCGGAAGTCGTCGCCTAGGTTGAGCTCCGCCGCGTCCTCGGTGTCTACCACATGCTGCGGGTTGGATGACATGGCTGTTAATCTCAGAGGTACACAGTTTACACACCAAATTACCATCTAAAAATGCGATTTTTTTAATAAATCTCGCATTCGTATGCTGGAGAAAAAGCAAGAGCTTATTGCCAGAAGAATTGCCGAAATCACGGACATGACGATCAAGATTTTTTTTTTTTTATCAGTCTCAAAATGTTTGCGAAGACAACCACGGACAAACGTGCATTGCAATTTAAACAAAAGTCTTGATCTCGATCTTTTCGCAATTAGTGCAAATGATTCGCCCACTGTGGCATTGCACGTATTATGATGCACACTAGCTACACATCAAACTATCAAAGTATGAGAACCCGCATTATGGGGAACAACTCCAGGGCTCACTTAAACTTACTAATTGCAGCTTCACAGCGCGCATTTTCAGCCAAGGCGGGTTGTGGTGGCATAGCTGGCCCGAAAATAACGGGTGTGCTACGTTTTTATAAGGATGTCGACGTTAAAGAGATACCGGAGCCAACGGTAGAGGATGGAGTGGAGCCACGCAAGCTTTATGCCGTCACGCTTGACGGTAAGACGATTAAGACGCCGCGACAGCAACCTGTCCACCTTCCTACACCAGCCATGGCGTATTCGGTTGCCCACGAGTGGGATGCACAGATTCACGATATCCGTCCAGCCACAATGCCCATTATGACTTTGGCGTCCACGGCCTTAGATCTTGTGTATACGTCCAGTAGTCAGGAAACCATCGACGAGATGATGCACTATTTGAATACAGATACAATATGCTACGAGGTAACGGCAGATAAACAGGAGAAGCTTGTGATGCTGCAGCAAAAAAAGTGGAAGCCCATTCGCAAGTGGTTTAGTGATACATTCGAGGGCGAAGTGGACGTGAGCTACGGTAGCATTGACCAACTGGCACATGATCAGCAGCTTCTGACAAATGTGCGCGCGCATCTGGAAACGGTATTGCATGTGATTGATATTATGAAGAGTCAAATGATGCTAATGCTGCTGTTGCTGCTGCAGCTGAGTGATCTTGAACTGACAGCAGTGCGTACGCTGACAAAGGAGTGCAAGGTTTGTTTCAAACATAATAAGCACGCTCAACTATTTATTAATATTCATTTTGTTCTTTGTGGATGCTTCTTTATGCAGTCTTTGATCACTGCGTTGGCCGTCTTTAAACGTCACATTACGGCAAAGGAAGCAGTCGACGTCAGCCGCTTGGAAGAAGAATTTCAGATCAGCAACTGGGGACTTGTTGAGGGAGGTCACGATCTCGATCGCGTTAATTGCGCCATGAAAGTTTCGAGCGCATCCTTTTTGCTCTATTTGCTAGAGAATAAGCATTGAGGTGGTAACAATGCTTGAGCCTTTTTTGCCGGCATCGAATTATTACCCTAATCATTTGCGCAAAAAAAGATTACGATGAAGAATAGCTTCTCGTTTATTAAGGTCAAGCAAATTCTGTTCTTAAACAAGTCGATCCAACACACTGAGCACGAATATGAACGCGACAAAGCAAAACTTGCCTTATGTGATTTCGTTATCAAGCTATGCATGTCGCGGCGACCCGAATTGACATGGTGATTCCGTCGCGAGAGCAAAACCGCTAGAATAAAGCTCAGTGTATCGTTGAGTACATAGCGAGCGCTATAGAGGCTGTTGTTACATCTGAAGTAGCAGAGCCTGGCATCGTTCACAGCAACAAAATGAAACAAATCTGCAGCTTGCAGAAATGTATCAATTTAATTGACTTTGCACGTCCAGCTTGCTTCCGGACAAGTTCCAAATATTCAATCGCAACCTCACTACTTGTAAGATTCATGCCAGAAGTTCTTTTAAATCAATCCGAAAGTTGTAAGGTACTGAAAATAACGAGCGTGTAGCTTTATCCATTTACGACAAAGGTTCTGTACGTCAGTGTCCATTCTCGCACGTGGCTTTAGCTTGAGACCGCTATTGCGCTTCGCTGTCGCTCCGTCAAGCGCATGGCCATTTCCATGGTCTTCCCAGATTTTCGCATTTCGATAGATAGATTTCAGCGTCTCTGCCTTTGAATGACTGGACGCTCATCAACAGCAGCCGCACGGTGGGTGTAATCTGTTCTTCCATCGACGCACGATAAGCCGAGCGATTACCGCACCTTCCTCTCGGGCTGCCAGTCTCCAAGATTAGCGTTAAACATATTTTTTCCTAGCGTGCCTAGTAACCCGGGATGGATAAGTCGAAAAATCTCCGGGATGGATAAGTCGAAATATCTGTTTTATTCTCAAAGGAAAAGTCCTCACAAATTCAGTAGCTCGCCATTAGCGGAACCAAGAGCCCTTACATTTAACGAAGTGCCAATGCTGCTCTGCATACAATGACTATTGGTGCATGTAACCGTTTAAAATATACGATAATACAGCTCTTCAACAGCCCAGAAGCATCCCCATCATCATTATAAATACCAATACCTACTGAATACTCACAATCACACAAAAGTGTGACGTGTATTTCGAGTGTAGTGCACAGCTCATACGTCTGAGAATGACAAAGACATGTAGAGCTAAAATCTTTGTTAGGAGAAAGGCTACCTAATTCAAAAATATGCATTCGTCTTCAATTTTGGTAGCGCATATTGAAAAAGAAGGCTTAAAAATCGACTAGTTCCTTATGTATGAAATACAAAAGCTTCCGTACGACCATCATCGTCCCCAACGCGTGCTGTGCCAACCAACTTGTCTACGTAAGAACAGTTCTTTTACGTGTGACAACGCCTCCTGCAGCTCGCGTCTAGACGAGTTGTCGACGACCACGATGGTGACGGTGAAGTATTCGACTGTTATCAAAAAGTCATTGTCGTATGCCGACCAGCACGGCCAAAATCTCGTGGTGATGCGTACATTTTACCCCAAGGACGCCCCTGTATGCTTCTGTGACGTGCCTG